CCTCTCTGCACACTCACTCCACCTCTCTGCACACTGACCCCATCTCTCTGCACTGACCCCATCTCTCTGTATGCCGACTCCTCCATCTCTCTGCACTGACCCCATCTCTCTGCCCTGACCCCACCTCTCTGCACACTGACCCCATTTCTCTGCACTGACCCCATCTCTCTGCACTGACCCCATCATCTCTCTGCACTGACCCCATCATCTCTCTGCCCTGACTCCACCTCTCTGCCCTGACCCCACCTCTCTGCACACTGACCTCATCTCTCTGCCCTGACCCCATCTCTCTGCACTGACCCTATCATCTCTCTGCACTGACCCCATCTCTCTGCACTGACCCCATCTCTCTGCACTGACCCCATCATCTCTCTGCACTGACCCCATCTCTCTGCACGCTGACCCCCATCTCTCTGCATGTTGACCCCACCTCTCTGCATGCCGAGTCCTGCATCTTTCTGCACACTGACTAACTCTGTCTTTCTGCACGTTGACTCCATCTCTCTGCATGTTGTCCAAACATGAATCATGGTTGGTTTCCCCTTTGCTCCTTACCATTTATTGTGAATTTATCCTTTTATTTCCATTGTTATTGTCATTGGCACAACTAAGCCCTATAATGTAACTACTACAAAAATCCCTTGAGTGTTCTCTACTGGCATTCTCAAGCGTACTATTATACTATAATCTTCTAAATCCTTTTAAATATGTCAATTTGTTGCTCAGATTTTGTTAGCTCCTCATAGCTAATTAACAGGGTCACCCTTATCATATAGCAAGCATGCACTGTGTGCTAGGTACTTCATCTCACTTTGATGAGTCTGCCACTTAAACGTCATGACAGCCCTCTCATTTTAGAGATGAAGAAACCAAGGCAAAGTTAGTGTCTGTGCCCAAGATCCTGTAGCCAGGACTAGAAAAAGAGTTAGTATCTTATATTCTTTCTCTATTTATACATTAAATGTATATATAATTTACATTATATATGTTATTATAAGGAATAAGTTAATACCTTTTATACATTGTTGATAAATATAGGGCCCATTTTTCTCTGTTATCTATTATATAAAGTCTGGTGTTAACTTAACTGCTAGAACATCTCTCCAGCTCCCAAGTCTGATATTTCCATTTGGGATTTTGCTGCTATGTTAATTTTTCTGTTGTTTTTTTTTTGTTTTGTTTTGTTTTTTGAAACAGGGTTTCTCTGTGTGTAGTTCTGGCTGTCCTGTAACTTGATTAATGGACAAGACTGGCCTCAAGCTCACAGATCTACCTGACTCTGCCTCCTGATTGCTAGGACTAAAGGGGTGTGCCACCACCATCCAGCTTTGTGCTTATAAGATTTTCATTTAAATATATGTCATCACTAAATAATAACTAAAATGTGTTTGGTAAAAGAATATATAAAGCAGTATTTTAATTCTAGAAACTTACCTGTTAACTTCTAAGCACACATGATGTCTTTAGAAGGCTGCTGAGGCTGTGGCTGTGAGTCTCTTGAGCAGTAGGTTATCTCCTTTGGGCTTTGGGAGATGGTGCAGAAGCAGCTCTATGGCTCGTGCACAGTTCGTTCATTTACCCAGCCCTTAACATGTTAATCATACCCAGCAGTACACTGTATGCAAGTCATTCTGATAAAAAGGTGTTTTTGATGGATAATTTTTAAACAAATATTTGAGCTAATAAGCACTAAGAGACAGACTAGGAGGTAATTAGGACTTCAGATCACTGTTCAGAGTTTAGGGAAGTCTGTTTTGAGAGGCAAACTGGCAATGTCTTGTTATATTTTGCTTAGCGTACACATAACTACTGTAGCTGATGGATCATAAATACTAGCAATAGGGAAGACATAACTCCAAAAGTACAAGTTTCCTTTTGTCTTTGCGGAAGAGATCAAGTTAATAATTTTACTCTTTTAACACAGGGATGTACTTTGTGGTTACCTTTTATGCACCAATATTGGCAATATCCCAAGGCTTGGAGAACTCGATGGTGAAATCACATCTACCTTAGTTGTGCAGCAAGGAAGAACATTAAACTGCAGGTAATTACCTAAACATCCCGTGATCAGATTAATCCCTTTAAATCCCAAGGACACCGCTTGGTCCTGCTATTGTTTCCAGTGTGTGCGCAAGTTCATGGTCGGAACCTGAATCTAGTTCATAAAGGTGATCGAGTCAATCCTAACAGGCGAGAAATGAAAGCTAGTAAGAATGGTGCATGGCGGCTGTTATGTGGCTGCTGGAGTCGCTCAGCAAAGTTTCCCTCTTATTCAGGACAATTTGCGACTTCTGGACAGAGTCATTCAGCACATGGCTGCTCATTTTGCTTCTTTCTGAAGCTCCACAAAATTAAATTTCCTTTTGTAGTTATATATCTGCAGGAAAGGTCAAAAATGAAGTAGAGGCAGTAGCAACCCAAATCTAGAATGTGTACACATAAATGGCTATGTGGCTCACACTTAGGGGAGCCTTTGAGAGAGCTGAGTTCATAGGTCAGGAAGAGGGAAAGCTGAAACCCAACCCGAGATGTCTAGTAACATCTCAGAAAACTGAGAAACTAGCAGCGTAATCTGTTGTTTAAGGAGGAATTAGATGAGTTTCAAGGAAGGTTTTGGATAAAGAGGCTATATGGAAGTTTGGGGAAGAAAGAAAAAGAAGAAAGGGAGTCTAATGCACAAATTCCTCTCACGATTCAGCCACAAAGGGGCTAGCCCACTCTCCCACTGGGGATTCAGGCTAGCCCACCCTCTCATTGGAGACTCAGGCTAGGCCACTCTCCCATTGGAGACTCAGACTTTGTCTCCACAGGGAATAAAAGAGAATGTTCCTAAGTCGAAGGGTTGATATCAGGGTCATGTGGAAGTGGTTCAGCCTTGAGGAATGCTCTCTGAGAATGTCCAGAAAGTTCCAGTTGTCTGTCTGGTCAGTACTGACAGGCATGCAAAGAAAGTTTCTAACATGAAAAATTAGAGTGAACAGAAAACCCCAAGAGACTTTTTATCATGAAATGAAAATATAATGTTCTACTTTAATCAAACAGACTATAAAAGAAAAAGATTCTCTTGGATTAAAATACAACAGCAGTAGTGAAGCTTAGTGGTTGAAATTGACTCCCTGGAAATAGGGCAACATCACACAAAATAAACGTCTACCTTTGTATCTTTTTTGTCTATCTGTTTGTCTATCTATCTATCTATCTATCTATCTATCTATCTATCTATCTATCTATCATCTATCTATCATCTATCTATCTATCTATCTATCTATCTATCTATCTGCTGATCCATCCATTTATCTTCTATCTATCTACCTATCTATCCATCCATTTATCTTCTATCTACGTATTCATCCATTTATCATCTATCTATCTATCTATCTATCTATCTATCTATCTATCTATCATCTATCTATGTATCTATCATCTCTATGTATGTATGTATGTATATATGTATCTATCAATCATCTATCTATCTTTCATTGCTTCTGTTTTCCTGAAGAGAATTAACCAATATGTTTACAAATATAAAAAAAAAAAAACTTGGTTTTTACTTAAAAAAGAAAGAGAGCAATGAGGACAAGCTCCCTGGTTAGAACAGAAATAAAGAAGAACAGAGGTAGTAAGGAGGAAACTGTCAGCCAGTGACATCAGAGACAGATGTAAACTTCATTATGGAAACTGTGGGGCAAAGAAGAGTCAACAGTTTCCACAGAAGAGGCTCGGGAATTAGAGTGGCCTAAGGTTTGTCACCAGGAGTCCAGGAAATCAGAAGACGTTGGGAAATTATTTATAAATTAAAATTTTGTATCAAACCAAAGCCAGGGCTCCTAGAACACAGCTCTAAGCCCAGAACTCAAAGGCTGAGGCGGGAGAAGGAAGAGTTTGAGATGAGCCTGGACTACATAGCAAGATCCTGTGTTAAAAATAAAAATCAAATACACTTCATACTAAAAAATGACATTTTACCGTGCAAATTTCCTCAAAATGTATTCTCCTACACCTCTTTTCAAAAAGCTAATGGAATGGTTATACCCCCATAAAAGTGAAGATTAAACAAAGGAAGAGAAAGGCAAGGTACAGAGGAAGCAGGTTCTTCACTGAGAGACAGCGTCACACAGGCTGACAGTGAGAGGGACCCAGGATTTACGGCTCTGTGCCAGGGACAGGGCAGAACCAGAGTAGACAGGAAGGAGATAGAGGGAACTGTAGGAGAGATCTCCCCAGAAAATGATCTGATGCTCGCTCGGGTGTGTTTTCAGTCGGGATTAGCAGCCAGAGAATGTGGGTTGGTTTTTCTAGTAAAGATGGTAAGTGCATAGGAAAGTAGACAAATGAAAGAATAATCTAAGGTAAAATAAAAAGTAATTCAGAAAGTGAAAGTTTAATTATTAGCATTTGCATAGTAATAATAGCGTACATATTTATTGTTGATTAAATCAAGTTTATTATGAAAGGGTAAGGAAAGGAGAAATTGCATATAGAACTATCAAGGGAAATAAGGAGATAAATTTTCTTGTATATGGAGAAATGAATTGATAATACCTACAGTTAAAAATAAAATAAATCAGTATAGTATACATTTTTGAGGCATAATAATAGCAGAGGACCAGTAGTGTAGAAAGTGGCTCTCTCCTAGGAAGGCTCTGTGCAGAGATAACTATTTAGTTTAAGAACCCAATTTACCTAATGCTGGGGAAATGACTCAGTTGGTAAAGTCTTAGTATTTAAACACGAGGACCTGAGTTCAATCCCTAGGACCAGCAGCATCCATGTAAAACATTTGAGCACATTTCCCAATGCAAGGTACAGACAGAAGGATCCTTGAGACTTGCTGGGGAATCTGTGCATTCCACATTCAGTGAGGACACCCTTGTGAGCCACCCTTGTGAGCTCCACCTTCAGTGAGGACACCCTTGTGAGCTCCACCTTCAGTGAGGACACCCTTGTGAGCCACCCTTGTGAGCTCCACCTTCAGTGAGGACACCCTTGCTCAAAAAAGACGGCGGAGAGCAGTTGAGAAAGACACTCAGCGTTGACTTCTGACCTCCACACATGTACACATTCATACACACAAGCATACACAGGCACACACACACATGTGTACAAACACATGAATGGAAACATGGACACAAAAGCACCAGTTCATGCTTTTGGTTACACATGCACAATAATTTTGATAAAAATTAATATGGAAATTTTTGTGCGAGTGTTGGCAAGGATCATATGAAAATATTAGTTATGCTTATATACTTTCAGCTCTTGTTGCTATTTAATTATTCTAAAAGAAAACATGTGCGCATGCTGTAATGAGCAGTGGCTACAGTGGTTTCAGCAATCCCACATAGAATTTGCACATATACAGTTTTGGGGAGCATTGTAAATCAAATCCAATTCCAGTTCTTATTTGAAACACATTTGAAATCTTGACACCTATGTAGTAAAGCAATTAGACTTGCATATGGTGTGCAAGGAAAAATAATAAAGCTAGCTAGTTATGGCCCTTACTGTAATAATTTTGTACAAATTATATTCAATTTTAAATTACATTTTAAATTAATTTATTTTTCTTTAACTAATTTAATTAATTTGAAATTAAATTTTGTTTAAATTCAGAGATAATACATTTATCCCTGAAAAGAGTTAGATTAAAAGTTTCCCTTACTTCCTACACCTTCAAGATATTTCTGGGTGTATGCCTGTAAGTAACCTTGGCACATGGAAGCGGAGTTGGAGGAGCTAAAGTCCAGGCTGGTTTTGTTTACATTAAGAGTTTGATGCCAGCCTGGGCTACATGAAATTCTATCTCAGTGAAACAAAAGAACAAGTAATTAAACAGCCTTTGACTACAGGTTTTTATGAAATCATAAATAGAAGACCAAAGAAGGAGTATTTCCTGCTTTTAGATTTATACTCAAGATGAACGTGAATTAATGGAACCCTGTTTTCTTCCTTGCTTCCAATTTATTGTCAGTGGCGGGCATGTTAAGCTTGAAGAAGATGTTGACCTTGGCTACGTGGAGGACGGGACGCCCTGCGGCCCTCAGATGATGTGTCTGGAGCATCGGTGTCTTTCTGTGGCCTCCTTCAACTTCAGCACTTGCTTGAGCAGTAAAGCAGGCACCATTTGCTCGGGAAACGGGGTGAGTGTCGAGCCTCGCCTTGGCAACCACCCATTTCCTCCTTACAGAAGCAGGTGGAATCCTGTAATCTCCTTCAGGATGGACAGTGTGCTTATCCACGTTTCTGGTTGGCACGTGAACACTAACTTCATCAAAGCTACTTGAATATTTTTGTTGTATAATCGAGAAAGTCCAGCAATAAGAAAACTCGCAATTTTCCTAATCAGTTTCTTCAGTCTTCCTTTTTTATGCTAAGAGGACGTCATACAGAGTAATGACAGGTTTTCTGTGAGACAGATTTTTAGCAAACTATAATGGAATTTAAATTTTTTTTATTGTTAGCTTTTTTTTTTGTTTTGTTTTAACATCTTGACTGCAGTGTCTCCTTCCTTGCCTCCCAGTTCCTCCCCCAACCCACTCTGGCCTCCCATCCACTCCTCCTTCATTTCTATTCAGAAAAAGGCAAACTGCCCACAGATATCAACAAAGCATGGCATATCAAGTTGCAGTAAGACTAAGCACCTCCCTTTTATATTAAGGTTAGTCAAGGTGACCCAGTATGAAGAAACGGGCCCCCAGAAGCTGGCGAAAGAGTCAGAGACAGCCCCTGCTCCCACTGCTAGTAGCCACACAGGAAGACCTGTCATGTGAGGCGTGAGAAAAGAAGAGCGAGCCAAATATTTAACTGCTTAGGTCATCCGGGTACAGCCGAGTCAGCACTGACCATAAATAACCGCTGTAGCCTCATCAGAGATGACAGCCAAGGCTCAAACTCGGAAATAGCAGTCTTCAGCGAACGTGCTGCTCGTGGAAGAACAGACAGAGTGGTACTTTTGACATTTTGATTCTGCTCTTCCAGAATTGTGTATCGGCTAGCATATTTACATTATAAGCCAAATGAACCCTCCATGAGTATATCCAGTTTTCTCATTTCATCAGGAATTCCTCTTTACTATCAGGTGTCTTGATTCTTTTTTTGTTAGCATGTGCTGTGGTTTTCTTTTTGCTGGCATTACAGACTCTTTGATTGAATTGTGTGTATTATCCAGATGAGGCAAAGGACCCTGTTTGGCAATTTGAAGCTTTTAGTCCTGATCATTCCATACGATGGATATCAGATGTCTTTGGGGGCTATGCTTGGGCTGACGGTCAAAGGATCTCTTTACTTTAGAATTTACTTTGGGAAGTAACCCGTTGTATCGTATGGCACATAAGAAGGAGAATGCATATAATTGCATAGCTCCGCTCCTGTAACCTAAGAGGGGTGTTTTCTCTCCTTCCTGTAAGGCCTAGGAGGACTCGGGAAAGTAGTTCTTGTGGGACCAAAGAATCTCGGGGAAGATTCTTGTGTCATGAATCACATTTTTGTCTTCCTCCTAGCGAATTTTAAATACACGCTAAAAGAAAATAGGGTTTATCTAGTAATGCTTATTTAAGGAATTAATAAGAATAAGATAATGTAAGTAGTATTATATATAGTATAAAATAATTTATAATAATCATGTGTTATAAAAGGTACTATCCTATATAATCAAAATATTTTATTTATTATTTGTGTATATGGTATGTGTGTGGGTATGTGCAGATGTATGCCACGAGATACGTGGTATCAGATAACATCTTGAAGGAGTCAGTTCTTTCCTATGCATAGAGTCCTGGGATTGACTAAAGTTATGAGGCTTACATGGCAAGTGTTATAACCATTGAGTCGCCTTGCCAGTCGCCTACATGTTTTTAAATTGTAGTAACAGCCGGGCATGGTGGCGCACGCCTTTAATCCCAGCACTCGGGTGGCAGAGGCAGGTGGATCTCTGGGAGTTCAAGGCCAGCCTGGTCTACAAGAGCTAGTTCCAGGACAGGCTCCAAAACCACAGAGAAACCCTGTCGCGAAAAACCAAAATAAACAAACAAACAAACAAATAAATAAATTGTAGTAACTCAACCATATGTATGGCAAGAAGCTAAAATCAGGATGGAGCTATTCTTTATGGATACCATCAAAGCCTGGGTGTGGTTGTTATGAGTACGGGTTACTTGCTTCCGTGTGACAGAGAACTGACATTTCTGCTGGCTCACCTTTGGGTTTTAGGTTTGCAGCAATGAGCTCAAGTGCGTGTGCAACAGGCACTGGACAGGTGCCGACTGCAGCACCCACTTTCCTCACAATGATGATGCAAAGACTGGTATCACCCTGTCTGGCAACGGTAGGTATCATAACATCTTTCCATGTAACTGAAGAGGATTTTCTCTATGGACATTTGCATTTGAGGTTTTTAGCATAACTCAAAAATAAATGGTACTTACATAATGAGGGGGGAAGTCTATTTTGTGAGACCAATCATTTTTATTAAAGTATAAAGATTTGTCACTCTGAGTATAATTTCGCCTACTGACTTCACCTTATTCTGTATTACTGCAGAGACTTTTCAAGTATTGTAATTACCTAAGGCTATGAACACAACCTAGCATCTTTTAATCAATTTATTCCTAGATAATTTCATGCACGTGTACAGTACACTGCCACACTCATCCCTCCCACACTCCCTCATCCCCCTCTCACTCCCAGAAACCCCCTCCTTGCTCCTATCGAGTTCTCACCCAACTTTCATGCCTTTTTTCTTGTGTTTTCATTTTCTAACATTTCTTTGAAGTAACATTTCTTTGAAGTTAAGAAAGTAGACTGGTGCCAGGCGATGGTGGCTCACGCCTTTAATCCCAGCACTCGGGAGGCAGAGGCAGGTGGATCTCTGTGAGTTCGAGACCAGCCTGGTCTACAAGAGCTAGTTCCAGGACAGGCTCCAAAACCACAGAGAAACCCTGTCTAGAAAAACCAAAAAAAAAAAAAAAAAAAATAGACTGGTGTCGGAGTGGTTAGGAGTGGTTAAGAACACTTGTGACTCTTGCAGAGGACCCAGGTTCAGCTCTCAGTACCCACATGATGGGTTACAACTATCCATTAAGTCCAGTTCCAGGAGAACTGGCCCCTCTCTCCTCACCTCATCCTGCCCCAGGCATGCACACGCTGTGTACATACAGGCAAGACACTCATACACATAAAATAAAATAATAAAAATAAAGTGTTTAATTTTAATGGATAATTACATATTTTTGAACTGAATAAATAAAAATGAGTTGACTTTTAAGCTTTTAAAAGCCATTCTTTGTTCTAGTATCTCATTTCTATAGTCTAAACTATGAAAAGCCTGGAAGCAATGTAACTGTCCAAGGCAGCAAGGACTGAGGACATGGGTCAGACAATGACAGGAGGCGGGGGTTGGGGGTCCTAAAAACTTCATTGGCTAAAGAATAAAAGAGGAAATTAAGTGGAGGCAGTTAAAGAGTTCACACTTCGGAGATAAAATTTCCCCTTAAACAGTAATGCCCTTTGCATGGAATAACGCTCACCTCCCAAGGCTAAGGACAAACAAAGGCACTCATCTGAGTCATCTGTGCAGGTCTGACATCTTAGTAACACGACTTTAACAAGGCCCCAGATGTCCTCAGGTAATGATGGTGAATGGTCACATGGCTCTTGCTCCCCAGGTCAGTGCAGTAGTAGTGCCTGGATCTCAGGGGTTTCCAGGAGACGTGACTTAGAAGTAGTCACCCTGAGTTCATTGCTCCCTGTTTAAATTTCTGGAGGACCAGGAAGGGTGGGCATGCATGCTGAGTCTTAGGTAAAAAGGCCAGCGCCTTTCACGAATCAGATGATACTGTGCGAGAGTTACTCAGATGATACTGTCCGTGTGATAGTTACTCAGATGATACTGCTCGTGTAATAATTACTCAGATGATACTGCTCGTGTAATAGTTACTCAGATGATACTGCTCGTGCGAGAGTTACTCAGATGATACTGCTCGTGCAATAGTTACTCAGGTGATACTGTCCGTGTGATAGTTACTCAGATGATACTGTTCACTCATTTTCTTCCTTGTTTTCCCTTCTAGGTGTTGCTGGCACTAATATCATAATAGGAATAATCGCTGGCACCATTTTAGTGCTGGCCCTCATATTAGGAATAACTGCCTGGGGTTATAAGTAAGTCAAAGTTTTCAGTATTATTACTATAAAGATTTACTTTAAAGTATTTTGATTAGGGGCTAGAGACGTGGTGTGGGGGTTGGAAATACCACTGGCTCCTGCAGAGGACTCAGTTTTGATTTCCAGTACCTGTCTTGGGTGGTTCATAATTCCAAGTGCCTCTAGTTCCAGGAGATCTGACACCATCTTCTAGCCTCCGTAGGTACCTGCACTCACATTTGTACGTGCACACACACACACACACTCACGCACGCATGCACGCACACCCATGACCAAATGTTAACTGGAAGGTTGTATATAGTTATCTCTATATTTGTATTGAGCATCAGTCTGGTCCAGCAATCAGAGATTACCCACCCTTAGTATGGTTAGAAGTAATGATAATTCATCACATTTTAGGTTCTGAAACAACTCTTTTCCTATTTGGACAGCACTGAACGTTGTTTTAAGGTCACTGTAGTGACTCAGTCTTAACTGTGAGTGAATGCATACTGCATCAGGCATCACATCCAGAGCACAGCCCTTTGTCCTGTCGGCCATCCATAAGTGTGGGCTTCTTCCTGTGCGAGCAGACTCTGTGAGACTCAGTTTCATCTGCAAAATTCAGATACCTAATTCCCTCTTCAGTCCAATTCAATCCTAATTCAAAATTCGTTATATAATTTTTTGTCTTAATTTTTAAAAGTTGAGAGTAATCTGCTTTTGAATATTTAGTAGCCTCATACATTTGCTAAGTGGTGGATTCCAAACATTTATATGTCTAGTACTTTAAATTTCCCTTATGAAGACTTATAATGTAAATTTTTCTTTAGTATTCTAGTAACTAATGTCATGACTTAAATGTAGTGTAACCCTTTCATTCTTGAGTTAGGTTTTTATTGTCAGGGCAAATACCTGAGAAAGGTTCTCTATGGCTTACGTTTGAGAGGTTCCCGTCATCACGTGACTCTGTTGCTTTGGGCAGAAGAGCATGGCGGGAATCACGTGGTTGAGGAAAGCCGCTCGCCAGAGAAAGAGCTCACCACCATATCAAGCCCTCTGCCCCCCAAACTATTGGGCAGTGAATCCATGGGTACATTCTAAAGACCCCGATTTCAGGCACTGCTCCGCGGGGTCCACACATCAGCACACAGCTTTTGGGGACATCCAGATCCAAACTCTAATAGCTCTCTTTAATATTTCAACCTAAGGCCTCTGGTGAAGTCCCAGTCAGCGCCCCATCCCGGGCTTTGCCATTTGGAAAGCCTGCATTCTAGATGTTCACCTCACTTCATAGCATATTCCATCATGCATCCAATGTGGATCACGAAATTCGGAACTAAAATAGTTTAGATCTGGGGACAGAAAGATGGCTCAGCAGTTATGAATACATACTGCTCTTACAGATTGCAGTTCCCAACACCCACATTAGGTGACTCAAAACTACTTCTATCTCCAGCATCAGGGGATTTGACAACCTCTTCTGGCCTCTACAGACTCCTGTACTCACGTGCACATACAATACACACACACACACACACACGTACACACACGTACACACACGCGTACGCGCACACACACACGCACACACGCGCACGCACACACACACAAACAAATACAACTTTTTAAAAAGTTTTAAATTTAGAATTTACTCTGAGTCCTTTTTAAGATGATCTTTGTTCTGTGACTTACTACATTTGGAGAACATGCAGAGTAGTGACCTGCTCACAGTGAGCAATATGATTGTCGTCTGAAACCAAATCAAAGGAGACACCTTTAAATGTGTTATCTAGCAATTGTTTATAAAACTAAAACCCTGCAAGTGTTTTACTGAAGATGGAGCACAATTATTTCGCTGTTTGTACGCTGCCATATCTAAAATTCAGGAAGCCGCTTATAGATGGCTGTACCACAAAACCACAGGCTGGTTAGATAGTGCAACTCATGTGTGTGGGATAGCCTAGGGAAGGCGCTGGCCCCATCGCACAGGCTCTGCCCTGGTTAGCCGGTGCTCCCTCCGTTTCAAGGTGTAATTTGGGCACTCATGAAGTTGTGTGTCTGGAGGGGAGGCCTTTCTTCGTGTGACAGGAAAATGGGATCCTCTCTCAACTTCTCTGATGTAGGACACACATACGTATGCAGATCACAATTATCGCTGTTTCTTTATTCCTCGATAATTTTATTTGGTCCCATGAAAATGATTCTAGAGTTATAGATTTCTACCACTTCCTAATATAGATGGATATTTAATTTTTATAATCCTGGGAAAAGGTACAGATAAAAAAAAAAAACATGTAATGAGGGGCTGGAGAGATGGCTCAGAGGTTAAGAGCATTGCCTGCTCTTCCAAAGGTGCTGAGTTCAATTCCCAGCAACCACATGGTGGCTCACAGCCATCTGTAATGGGGTCTGGTGCCCTCTTCTGGCCTGCAAGCATACACACAGACAGAATATTATACACATAGTAAATAAATAAATATTTTAAAAAAAACATGTAATGAAAACGTACTTATTGCTAGTGAAATTACCTTTTTAGAAATTACCTGTTTTCTTCAGTGAGTTTACATTTTGTCTTTTCAGCATTTATAAATGTATATTTCTAAATGTACTAAATGTACTTTGCAGATTGGTTAAGAAAAAAGACAGATCTTGTTTTGACATGATTTGAACTTAAGACCCAAGTTTTAGAGTTTTTCAAAGTATTCAGGATATGTGGATTTGCTTTGCTTTCTCGTTTAAGATAGAATCTTGTTTAAGATAGTATTTCTGGCTGACTTGATTCCATGAAAAATGTAGTTAATTTATTAATTTGATTAATTTTGCCATTTAAATCAACATTTAATCATCTATATATATCTACCATCTGTCTATCCTCTATCATCTATCTATCTATCTATCTATCTATCTATCTATCTATCTATCTATCTATATCTCTATATATGCATCTGTCTTTATTTATCATCTCTATATGTGCATCTATCTATCATCTATCATCTATCTATCTATCTATCTATCTATCTATCTATCTATCTATCTATCTATATCTATTATCTATTATATGAAAACCTATATTTAAAGTAGAATTGACAAGGCTGGAGAGATGACTTAGTGGTTAAGAGCCTTAGTTGCTCTTCCACAGGACCCATTTCCAATTCTCAGTCCCAGGGAATCTGACACCCTCTACTGGCTTCTTCAGGCACTGCATGCACATGGCACATAAACACACGCGGGCAAAACACCCATAAACATAAAGTAAAATAGATACATTTAATTTCAAAGCAACTGTATTGACTCTAGATAATTATTAAATATCTGGCAGGCACAATCAAACATATTGAGAAAGCAGTTACTGTTTAATGATTACAACCTAACTTTTCTGCTCTTGCAGAAGATCCAGGTTTGGTTCTAAGCACATAGATGATGTGTTACAACCTCCAGTTATGGGAGATTATGTATTATCTTCTGTCCTCCAAGGGCATTGAGCATACATGTAGAATAGACACATACATGCAGGCAAAACAAGTGTACATAAATTAAAAGTCAGTCAATTTTAAGATAAATAAATAATAAATTAAAATGGCAATTGTTGGGCAATATTGTCACTAACCCTTTGGTATCCTCTCTCCTTATATGATAAAGTAAAATTTTTTGTATATTTCTCATCTTCATTTTGCAATTTAAATTTCTCTATGTAAGAAGGTTCGGTGAATGCTGGGGTTTTGTGTTTAATGTTATGCTCGTGTGCCTCTGGCGAGAACTAATGCTCTTTTTTTCCTTTCCTCTGTCTGTGAGCAGAAACTATCGAGAACAGAGGTATGTGTGGCAGTGACCTGAAAAGATGACTGGAAAGTCTGACCCTTTGTGTCTCTGTTGAAATCCATACATGCAGTTTCAAGTGCATTTTTGTGTTTTGTGTAATAATATCCTTGATCACTTATGATTTTAAAATGATAATTAAAATTATTTTTAATAGCAATGTGTATATAGAAATAGATTTTTCTCATCAAAAGCAAACTTTTTATGTTAAGTTGTCATGTTTGTTTACATTGGTTTATTGGCTTTCCTTCATGTTTATAATGCTTTTATTCCTAATAGTCTGAGGGAAATGATTTTTGTTACTGTTGTAGTGATAACTTTCATAAGTTACAAGATTTACCCTTTGTTCCTTTCAAGGGATGTTCCACAATGTTCTGTATAAAATATTTTTATATGACTTGGTAATCATAAAGGTAGCTAAGGAGGAAATTTGCAAGGTTAGAATCTCTGCCCTCTTGAGCCTCCTGTGCTATTATTACATAAAGAATATAGAGAAAGTCAATCACCTACTTACATCACCTGAAGATCTCCATTTAGCAAACTGTAAAAGAGACAGAGAGGGCATAGTTTCTTTTTAAATAGGAATTTCTGATTTTGTCTAATTGCCCTAGTATTGAGATAGACATTTCACTTCTTACATTTTAAAAATTATTAATTCTACTTGCTGTTGATACCCGAAACTAAAATATTATCTTGGAAACAGATGAGCCCACGCCACGTGTTGAACATATACAACTTATTTCTGGGTTCAGAGTAGTTGTACAGGTTCCTGCTTAACTTTTCCTCTGTCCCATTGAGTGCCCATGTCACCTTAGGAATAGATATGATATATATATATATATAGTTAGACCTTTGCAGATTCTGACCACAAGACTTATTTTGTTTCAGAAAACAAAACTTTAATCTTTATTCTTCTATTTCCTTTATTTTACAATTTGCACTCTATAAGGCTTTAGTTTTAAATGTCTACAGAATCTTTGTGACTGCATGATATCCAAAGGTATCAACTGAAATCCTGATCATAACTTAGATTGAAAAACTATCTACAATAATCCTAACATTAGACATCCTTCCTTTGGTTTAATAAACTCATTATTAGAAAGAGTTAAACTTAAACAAAATTATTAAAGTTTTAACACAGCTGGGGTTCTTTGTGACATGTCTTGAACTCATGAGAATTGAAGCACATGAAGAAAGCGGGGCCTGTTTAGGTTTCCTGTGGGTAAAAGTTTCCTAATCGTATCAGAAATCTAAGATTGGTGAATTTATTCACAGAAAATTAAATTGATGAGATTACGATGTGATGATTTCAGAACCGTTTCTATAGGAACTAAGTGAAACTAATGATTAATTTAATACTGCCGAATACACAGAAAGGGAAGAACATTCTGCAGATGCATGACATCAACAAAGCTAAACCCGTGTTCCAGGCTACTGTATGGATGTTCTCCAGACCACAGAAACTGCCTGCCATGCGAAAAGGATGGACATTTAAAGGCATATACCAATTTAGTATTCTGACTAAACACATGCATAGTTAAAAACATGTTCACACTCTCACTATCCTTTTTTGTCTAATGTAATTTGACACCTCCTGGTGCTACAGCCTTTGTTTCACAGATAGGACAACTCTTCTGAAATCCAGTCTGTGTCTGAGGAGTCAGTCCATCTTCGGAGAAGTTTCTTTTAGATATTTTGTTATAGGTCAACAAAACTTTACCTTCTTGCCCCTGGCTGATAATAGTTCTGTGCAATAGTTCTCTCTAGAGAGCAGCAAAGGGTGGATGTTAGATCAAGAAGTTATGCATGGAAGTCTCTTTAGGGTTCTTTTAGGTGATGCGCTTTAATGAGTAGAGGGGAAATGGGTGGGCAAACAGACACAGCATACGGCAGCACATTTTCAGTATTTTCCACAGACATTCAAAGAAAGACCCATCTGGTTCCAAAGATGCAGGCACTAAAGCTGAGAACTTGATGTCATCTTTACCTTTAAATTAGGATTGCTTTTGCGGTTCTCTGGTGGGAAGGCCATTGACAAGGAGGTAGTGTTGATCTGCTCCTGTGTGGTGTGGGGAAAGGACTACTGTCTCCCAGCTGTGAAGTCTGAGTTCTCTGTAACCCTTAACGTGCTGGTCAAGGGAAAGGACTACGGGAGTCACCAGCCCAGCTGCGGCCCACACACTCCTTTTTGGCTGATAAAACGTGAGGTTTTGCTTTGGTATTTAGTGCTTCAAGCAATATTAAATATATGGGCATTTGCCAGATGACTATTAACATAGAAATGGCCCAGAAATGCCAAATTGGGCCTCATGTTCAAAATTTTAGAGAAGATAGCCAAGCAATTCTATAAATGAATCAGATAGCAAACTTCCTACTGAACAACAACAATAAAAATAGAAGCTGCACATTGGGACCTAATGGGAGTGTACCCCCACACATATATTATTATAGTAGTTCATGTCCTCTGGTGGCGTCCTGGGGAGGCCACGAACCACGGAACTACAGAGCCACAGTGAAGCCTTAGATACTGAGTCATTGCAAAGAAGATTACTTGCTTTTTTCTTTAAAAGTCCGAGGACAGAAAACCTCTTCCTTTTCCCAGTCAAAATTATTGGCCTTGAGGGATAATCTCATAGACCATGACAGCTGTATGGTTGACAGCAAGAACTTAAATTTTAATTTTCACTCGGGTTTTCAGATACAAGCAGAATAAGGAATATTGGATGGACTTAAATTTATAAACCATCTACATTTGGTGGAAATCCTTTCCCTTTGTTTGAAATGAGCACACGTCACTGTGGCTAGTGAGGTGTGCGATCGTTAGACCCCATCCTTCTGCTCTGGGGTTCCGCCTTAAGCAGAATCTCTCCCACCTCCTTTCTTTAGCTCTCATCTGTTTTATCCATTTGTTTTCTTTTTGTGACCTCCCCACCTTTACTTTCCCAAACCGTTTTTTGACTTTTTTCTTTTGCATTCTTCATATTTCAGTGATATTCATGCATCTGTCAACATGAGTTGGTATAACTGAACAGTATTTCTCAAAACAAGGGAGTAACCGACAAATCCTGTAAGAGACAGCCCAGGCACTAAGCAGGGACAGGAGAGATGCCTCCTTCACACTGAGGTTATGACCTGGACACCCCCCCCCCCCGGAGCAACCATTTATCTAAAGGTTTTGGGGTTATTGCAAAACAAAACAGAAAGAAAAACTTTTTTGATGTTTAAATTTATAGGGCTCAGTACTAACTGCTTTATAATTATGAACACATTGTTGTCTGAAGTAGAATAAAAATAGTCACTAAGCTTGTAAATGTGGGAAAATAATAATCATTTGCATAGTCTGCCCAAAATCAAGTTATAGGTGTTGCTCTTTGTGTTAACAAATAGAAATTCCTTAAACAATGTTATTTAATAAGATGCATCAGTTTATCTAAGAGGTTGTAGATAAAGGAAAAAAATGACACTTTGTAACTAATGTAGGAAAGGTTGATTTTTAAGAAAAATGAATTCAGTTACAAAGCATTTTTTCTTTTCTTAATTATTTGCACAAACGTGTATCTAAAATATTTGCATATAGTGTAATAAAAATAAAGAAAAATTCCCATTTGAAAACCTACCGCTTAGTCAGTCCAAATAATTACTTTCAGGATCCAAATTGGAAGTAACATAAAAACACTCGAATTTTAAGACAAAATCCATAAAAGAGAAAACAATTAGGAAAAAAAGAAGCTCAATTAAAATTTTTAAGGCACTCATCTAGTTGGCTTTCCATGTTTTTTCTTAGCAAATGATGAACTGTTGTATTGATGGCAGGAACCTGGGACTCTCTCCTCACTAAGGCAGGAAGTAGCGCTCCGCTAGGGTGTAATAGACTCTGTAGAAGGGATTGATTATGTGCATTCCAGAGATGTTTACAGTGAAGTTGGTAAGAATCCAGCATGGCCCTGGAGATAAAAGGAGAAGCACCCTAGAACCCCATTCATTAAATTGAAACTGTTCTAACTCCCATACTGATTCCTTTATTTTTGCTGGAACCTCTCTCCATCAAGCGTGGAGCTAGCTTTAGAAATTAGTTTAGTAAGAAAGTTTTCCTTAGTTAGTGTATGGAGAACTAGACAAGGTCACACAAATTAAACTTAAAATACATGCTTTATTTACATTCACTGGACAATCTTTTTCTGATTTGTAATATATGAGCTGTCTAAATAATCTAGGAGAGGATTTCAGTCAGAAACAGCTAAGTATTTTTAAATAATTTCAATGATATAGGAATCAAAATAATCCAAGGGACATCTGAAAGGGTTTCTGAGGGTTAAAACAGTATCTGTAAACAATCACTGTAATTAAACGAACCTGGATTGAAAGGGACTTACTTAGGAAGTATATGCTTTTGCTGGAGACTTATTGACATATACCTGTTTTGAAATTCTTAGCCTATCCCTAGCTTTTGACGTCTCCACCTATAGCACGAGTAAAACTGGTCATGATTCGGATGCATTTGGCTCTTTGAGGCCACACACTAAATGGCTGCATTGGCTGTGGGCAGAGTCGTCTGGGGTATTTTGTGTCTTTCCAGTTCCCTTAGAAGAGAGAGTGAGACTGTTGCTGTCTCAGCTCATTCAGAATGAGACGAGAGGCTTCAGTCCTGCACGGGCTAAGCAGATGCCCCTGTTTTCCTCCCCTCCTGCTATGGTGGAGCTGGGCAGTGTCACCATCTGTCACAGATGCCTTCCATAGTCTCCCGAGAAGCTCGGCTACTTTTCAACTCTTTCTTCCTCTTGCTAAGTTACGTTCCTTTACACAGTCTATGGTCTGATATAAAATTACTGCTTTGATTCAAACTTTGGTCTCAAATTTTCTTTAAATAATGAAGGTGCAAACTGAACACCAAATTTGAATGAGGTTTTATTTGGACTTAATTGTAGAAAGCAATCCAATCCTTTAAAACTAAGACAAGGTTATAGTCGTCATATGTTTCAAATCATGAATAATTTGTTCACCACATTTGAAAGCAGCCTGCTTTATTTGAGCAAGGAATGTCATAACAGATCTTCAACATCAATTTTTAAAAGGAAAAAGCTATTGGAGTTAACATCTCCAGGTAGGGTGATGTTGCGCTGACAATAACTCATCGTTCCATATTTCTCTGAAAACAAGGCTTTGTTCGTCCAGCCTGCCTAGACTTCATGATTACATTTCTGACCTCGGCAGCTAGAATGAGTTGAACTTGTCACCTTTATTAATAATCTCATGTTATAGATTTGATCACGTAGACCATTATCCCTGCCTCTCTTTTTCCTGAAGTGATATTTGTATATGTCTGTGTTCATGTGTGTGTCTTGTTTTCTGACTCTGAAATGTTTATTATGCCTTAGACAGTTACCCCAGGGAGATTATGTAAAAAAGCCTGGAGATGGCGACTCTTTTTATAGCGACATTCCTCCCGGAGTCAGCACAAACTCAGCATCTAGTTCTAAGAAGAGGTCTGCCTTTCTGTCGCATTTTCAGATCTCCACCTGTTCCATCACACATTATTCCATTAGTCAGAACATTTCATTATTTTGCAGCAGGTTTGGTTACTTCTTCCTTCTTTCTTGAATGTGAAAATAGTATCCCTTGTTCTTTGATTACTCCACTTCAAAATGCCATATGCTCAGAACCACTTTGTGTAGAAAAATCAGGCTACGAAATGGAAAACGAAATGCAACAAACAACTCCAAATCTGTGGAGAAACCCCAGGGTTTTCCCTGCCGTGTTACACATGGCTTAAGAAGCAAAACATAGTATTTGAAAATATGTTTACATGGTGAGCTTTATGTCATGTTTGGTAGTCAAAGAAAAAGGGTACTGTCATGCTTCGATAAAGGCAACTAAGATCATTAGTAACATAAGTGCTGCATTGAATAGTTTTTAACTTTGTGTATTTCAAAGCTAAGCTTGCTGTGAAAAAAAATGATTGCTTCTCTGTGAATCATCTATTTTAATATTATGATTTTTTTTCTGGAATGGTTATTTGTAGACTTTATAACTTTTATCTTAGTTGAAGAATTAAGTATAGGTAGCATTACAGTATTATTTATGTCTCAAACTCTAATGATACATTCTTGTTCTAGCATCTTAAGATGTTTGACACCTTTTCACATTCAGTTTGCTTTATAAATCAGTGGGCAGGATGAACTGAGAACTAGAAGAACTAAGCAGGATGTCACAGGGTGGGATCTACCTTCACATAAAGGGAACTAAGATATCGTTGTAGAAAACAGGCTTTAAATTTCCATGGAGGTTTCAAGGATAGCGAAAGCGTTTCAGTTGGCCCGCTCATAACACTGAGCACACGTACTACCTGTAGACTGAGGAACTCGTTTACTGAGAGGGAACATGGCCTCTTCTGACAGTCTGAATAGAGTGGATGTTCCTTAGAGCAATCTGCTCAGACCTTGTAGGCACTGAACACGAACCCAGAACCGTTAGTCACTAGGAACTTTCTTAGGCACATTTCCTTAGATAACCGAACTCAAAGCAAAAGTCGTGCTGGTTTTGAGCCTGGAAGCATACATGGCACCATACACTTTACAGAGTACAGAAATGACTTTTCATTTATTCTTGAGGGATTGTCAGCTGAGAGAGGATGACTGGGGACCTCCTAGCATTCTCTGATACAAATATTTGCTTGGTCAAATATAGAATTTTAAATTAAATAACAGTAAAGAGTAGAGAAATCAGTGGGCTTTCATACAAAATAAGAGTGACTTTGTGATTAGGAGAGTAGTGTGTATGTTTTCATTGTACCAAGTTCTGTTTGCTTTCAGTCAGAGGATTCCCTTTCAAACTGACATTATTAGGAACTAACCAGAGTGTTTGTAGGGGAGTGGCTTAAGCTAGCGCTGCCCCTACAGTCTCTGATAAAAAGCTTTCCAATGCTCAGGACTGGCTCCCAGATTTTGGGAAACAGTACACTAGGTTCTGATCAGTCAAAAGCATATCAAATTATTAGGCTCCAGACAAGGTTCGTCACATTCCTTTCATTATGAAATGTCATAAAAGTTTTGTTTTATGGTGTAAGGTAGGTGCATTAATTTTGATTCTTACAGTTAATTCGTTTAGTAATCGTAGGATACAAATAGCGGAAGGGCTCGATGGTGCATGGGCTTTGTGAGAGATATCTCCATGATAAAGATCTGATTCAGTTCAGTCATTGGACAGTTAACTGGCATACATTATATTCATTGGGGGCATATTTATGTGGAAAAACACCAACTCTCCGATGATAATTTCATTAATTTAAATTTGTGTATAATTTCATAAAGTGAGCCAGGTTCAGTTGGGCACATTTTATGTGATCTCTTAAAAGTCCATGTTCTCATAATATTTGAATGAAAATCATTGCTTTACAATTAAGAAACATCTATGGTGGGACCCCATTATAACCCTGCTGCTGGGGTTATGTGACTGCAATACTTGCTGAATTTGCTCTGTGGTTGCTGTGTTCTGGGGAATGTAAATTGGCTTGCATTATATCCGCTGCTTTTCCATTTATGACTATTGTAATGGGGTTCCATTGTATTTGACTTTTCTTAAATTGAATGTTGTGTAATTCTGCCTTCTTCATGAAGACGTTCATGTTTTCTTCATTCTTTCATTTCAGATTTTTTTTATTGATTTGTTTTATTTAGTGCACAGTAATGCTTACAAATTTTGCTTAGTGATTCCAAAACATTTATCTGATTATATTTTTGAAGAATATGCAAATACTTCTGCTTTCAGGTCAAACGGTCTCTCTCATTCCTGGAGTGAAAGGATTCCAGACACAAAACATATTTCAGACATCTGTGAAAACGGCAGACCTCGAAGTAACTCCTGGCAAGGTAGTGACCAGTGTTCAGAATCTAAGACCTGGCTTCTGGGGCCCTGTAAAGATGTGTTCTTTCCCATAAGCCATTCGGCTCTTCTCCCTACAAAGAGCTTTAGAAGAGAGGCCAGCTGTTTGCTTTGTTCTTTGAAATCTCCTTCATGGGAAATAGAGGTGTAGTAGGTAAGTAGGCAGGAAGCATTGGAAGGTCATGCAGTTCCACGTATTTGGAGGCGATGCTGGTTATAAATGACACCCCTTAGAAGTACCATATAATTATACATAAAACAATTATTTATCTGTATGAAAATTTAGCTTAAATGATCTTTTTTTCAGGTAACCTGGGAGGCAACAAAAAGAAAATCAGAGGCAAAAGATTTAGACCTCGATCTAATTCGACTGAGTAAGTTGTACATTTAATGGGAAAGGCATTTGAAGGCCCTGTGCTATTAGTGGCAACTGTTAACTAAGCAGATAGTCAGAGAACCACCCACCATGCCTCTGGACTGGGTTTTGTCTTTTTAATTCTCTTTGCCCTATAAAAATTAACCTTGGCTTTTCTCTTTTACATAGGCATCTCCGCAACTGTGCCCATACCAATATTCACTGATAGTGGGGGTATCACCCTTGCTGCGGGCTTTTTCCTCCAGTCACCTGCCATTGTGGTGTTTTGTTTCCTTTGAAAGGAATTACGATAGCTGTCTTTTTTTTTCTCATCATTGGGAATCCAACCATCTCAAAGGGCCCCCCTTCCTCTCCTCTGGAAGCCCCAGGGCGAATCCTCACTGTATTAAAGTGTGCCCTGCTCACAGCCTGAAGCCACCACTCAGAGGTCTCCATGGCTGCTATCTAAGCATTCTCTCAGACTAATGGGAACAGCTTCCCTTTTAAGTTTTCCTCCTGGGGATTTCCCAAAGGCCATTTACCTAAACTTGCTCTTTATCTGACTCATTGTCACTAATGCAACATTAACTGCTTTAAATGATAGACATATTTTTTAGTGGGGTTGAAAGTTACATTTAAAGTCTTTTAGTATGAAGTAAGCATCATGCATTTTTTGGTGGTGTTTCTTTCTTCACTTAAGAAAGTGCAAGCAAAGTATTGCCCCCACAAACCTTACCCCCTTCATAGGGTAAAGCACACCCTTGGTATTTTTCCCAGCCGACCATGCCCCAGACATGATTATGATTGCCCTTGCTGTTTCAAGTCTCCTGGCATCTCTGCTCACACCCCACTCTGGCTGCAGTTCTTCCCAGGACCTCTGACTACTTTGAACAAGAGTCTGAGTAGCAGGTGTCTGTTAACTGCTTGTTAGAAACTTACATTAGCTTCTCCATCATATACCCTGCCTTTTTCAGTCCAGGAATAATAACATTGCCCTGAAATTTGGACCTTCCACCTGAATGGTATTGTCTTGTAAGTGGCTTGTCAACATTTACTAGAGGATCCTTTTACCTTAGAAACAATAGCAGTTTCAAGTGATACCATTGCATGGTCCAGAATGGCATCATAGACTTCCACCATGACTAACTAACCTCCTGGAGTTTATCTTCTGCATTCCCAAGTGCTTGGGTGCTGTAGGGCTCACTGCAGATAAACTCTTCCTGGAATGTTATTTGGTTTGTTTTGCATGAGGCCACCTGGTAAGAGGGCTCCTCAGCTTATCCCGGTTGCTCACAAGATTACGAGTACATTTGCGACATGTTCTTTGGAACTTCCTCTGTGGACTTTTAGTGCTAGAACAGTATTTCTGTGACTAGACTTTGACAGCTCCTAAGGAGACGACAAAAGGTCAGCAGGTGCCAAAGCAATGGGGTCAGGACCAGAGAACCTTCGATGTTCACCAATATTCATATAGTGTTTCCTAGGGCAGGCGTTGATTTTAAAAATGTATAAAACTCTATTTATATCACATGATAAAATTGTATTAGGGATAGCCTTTATGATATAATTATATGCCTGTGATATAATTAGGTTCTAATATTTAATGTTACAGTATAATAGAAATCTCTCAGGAAAGAAGGTTCCCTCAGCTTTCTCAGAATTTTCTGAGTTTGGGTGCATGACTCATATGGAGCCAAGTTTATGAAGCTGACTGTCCATGACCAGAAACTTTCTTGTATGGAAACTGTCTTTCCATACACGCATACACATTTACATATTTCTGAAAAATATGAATTTCTGATACATAACATATCAAGAATTAGGTTAGCAAGTTTTTATACTTTCTCTCTAGAAGTCATCTCATTGGTGATGACATAACACACCATTTGTGTGACTATACTAGGAGCAGAATGGCCACCGGAAGCACATTCTTTTTTTTCTGTAGCAGGAACTGTTTCAGGTCTGTTATTTCACCACCCCCTTAGAACCACATCATCCCAAAGGATGATGCACAGTTTGGGCCTGGATTAAAACATTCACCACCCAGCATGCTCTATCAATTAGAAAAGAAAACAAAACACTAACTGTCTTTGTTGGTTCTACTCGTTCCCACTCAGAGATTTTTGCATCTTCCTTGCTGTTGTTCACGCTATAAATTTTTTTGGCTTAGACTTTGTATTATATATTGTGTTTTTACAGGAGGGAGCCCCAAGCTCCTGAGCCTGGGCACTCCCTCGCCCAGACTATCCCATCCCAAGGCATAAGCCCAGGGGGCTCTGCCAGCCCCCAGACAGGGAGTCGGGATCACAGGTCAGTCTCCGCTTGCCCCTTCACTCTGGGCTGCCACGTTAATCCCCCTCAAAGCCCCTCCCTTGGCTGAGAGCAGGGTCATTTGATCTTTGACAGAGCCCCCATATCTGCTCAGTGGTGCTCCTGACCCAGTCAGCACCCGCTTTCCATCTCGGAGAACACGAAGAGGTTCTCCTATCCTGTCCAGCGCATTATTTTTTCTTTTTGCATGTTGCACTAACACGCCACGCCAAGTCAAGCCATATAGGCAGGTTTATTGTAGTTGGTAAAGGCCCATCGCTCTCGCCACCGTGCCAGGTCCCCACAGCGCTCCAGCACAGATCTGAAACCGAGGCGAAGGTCCATCACATGCCGAGTCAAGCTATGTGTTTGGAATTTTTGCCGGTCAGCCATAGCCCCTGTCGTTTGAGTTTCAGAGATTGCCAGTGAAAGGAACAAAGGTCTCCCCCAGGAAGTGGCTTCCTGCCTGTGGGACACCGGGTTTGCCGGGTGGCGGTTTCCCTGACAGCGGCTGCATGAGCTTTCCCGATGGTCATCAGCGGTTGCACTTGCTTTTGGACTTTTTCTTGCTGTTTCAAGTCCCAGTGGAAATGTTCACGCTGATTTTCATTGGCTATCTCTGTGAAAAGTGCAAGTTGGCAAAGGTTGTGGCTAAAGGCAAAACTAATGTGAGTTCTTCCTGAATCAGGAGATGTATCGCAGCAGCAATGGTCTTATAAGCATAAAAACCAATAGAACCTTTCTTCCAGGGTGGAATCATAATTTTTATTTTGCAGAATACCTTCTTAATGGCTCAAAATAAGGAAAAAAGCTGTGGAGAAATAGTCTGATATTTAAATATAACTGGAAATATATTAGTTTTGGTTTAAATATATTTATAAATAACTCAAAGATTAAATATGGAGGAAAGAAATAAATCTTAACTAAAAATTAGTATGTTTTATAATTTCACCAGATTTGTTTTCAAATAAATCTTATAGAAACTGGATCTTCGTTGACGATAGTACCATGGAGCTACTTTTTAGAAGAGAAAGCCTAGTAAAACCTCCAGATTCTCCCAATGCTGAAACGGTCAAATCACTGTTGTTTTATTAGAACAGATCCTAAGGGGATGTGTTTTTGCTTGGCTCCATAATAAAAGTCAAAGGGTCCTGTGGAAAGCAGCCACTGTGCCTCCAGTTTTGCTGCCTCTGAGATTTGCAGGGCCGTCCTGGTGGCACTGCTGCCAGGCCCTTCAGGGAGATGCTAGCGTTACTCGTTGGCAGCCCTTCTTTTGGAAAGCAACTTCTGAGGGCTGTTTCCTCACGCCGTCATGAGCATTTTAGTCCGGAGTCCACAGAGAGGAGGGCGGAACTGTGGGGCTCCGATTAGATCCCTGACCCTAGCTTCAAAATCACGGAGGCCAACTTGGACTGCAGTGAGTGTGCTCGGGGACTCCAGGGTCGGGGCCAGACCCTTTCTGTTCCGTACAGAAGTCAGCTGGAGAACACCCCTCAGACTCTGTAACAGAGAGTAACACAGTGGGCGTGTAAGAGGCATGTCTTGCCTATAAACAGAACTTGGCTCCTTTAAATTGTTTGAGCTTATATGTGCCTAAATAAAATACCAGATTGGAATTGCAGCCACCCTGAATATTTTCGAAAAGCACCCATATTATTTGAAAACCAAGGAGCCAACTGAGAAGTGGCTTGGGAAAAAGAAGCGGCTTTTGATGTGGGTTAATGAGCCTTTTGATAAAGAGAGAGTTTCTGACCACCAGTGGAAAACCACTAGAAGAGGCTTTCCTCGAAACGTCGTACGTTGTAGAGTGCCTTGTGCCTTGTGCCTTGTAGCTGACGTTAGCTTCATGCCATTGTGCAGACGGCCTCATAGTCACCTGGCCAGTGTCGATCCTGGTTTATCTGCCATAGTCACTTGCATTTGGAGGGTGAAAACTTCGTGGCTAAGCTTGTGCTGTGTATTTTCAGATTTTCTATCTTGTTCTGCTTTCTTGTTCCTTCCATTGCTTTCTGCAGGTATTTAAACCCATGGTTCAAAAGAGACTATAATGTAGCTAAGTGGGTAGAAGATGTGAATAAAAACACTGAAGGACCCTACTTTAGGTATTTTATAAATTCATTTTCTCTTCCTTTCACACTCTCCCAGCACATACACGTACAGTGTGACTGGCTCTCTCCCTTGTTTCTCCTAATACAAGTTCCTGTAGGCGGAAAGGCCCCTCGTTCATTCGCTGCCTTTTGATGTATTTGGCTTCCTGAGCGAGTCTAGCTCTTCTCTGAATGTTTCAAATGAAGCCATTTGAAAAGGGTTGCCATTCAGTGCATGTCCCTGTCACCTTTTGGAGCTTTTTAGTAGCTTTCTCTTCATTTTATGCTATGTAGTGTTCTATGGGCATGAAACATACCCCCCCCCACTAATAAAGAACCACTATTAACCTCAACAATTTAATTTTCATAATCTAGACGTTCCATAATATATTTTTCCTGCTTACCATTAAGAGTGCATAGTGCATAGAAAAACTCAAAGAAAACTTGCAAAGAAATTAAACTGGAATTTTATTTCAAGCAGAAACAATGATTTGATTGAACTGGAAAACAGTTGAGATATTATTGCTCGTGTGATAGCATGCGGTGAGCTTAGCTTTCCCTTCCCAAAGAGCCATTGGCTGGCATTGGGGCTGTGCTGAGAAGAGTATGCTATAGATTCTCCACAGAGCAGTGGAGGCCTTTCATGTTCAAACGCAGGAAGCAGATAGAAAACAGCCGACTAACAATAAGAGCCTCACGCATTCTAAAGCTATCCCGTCTCCCCAATTCCCTGGAGCGTGTACTACAAACCAGAGGCCATTTCCGAAGCCTCGCCATGTCATCTTCCCCCACTCTCTTTTATATAGCTGATTACCAGAGGTAAATGTCCACTTTATATTAAATTACTTTATGGAAAACTAATGCAAACAGGAAACCGAGCCTTGGTCTCTGCCTCTTCCGAGCACAATTGGAGATTGTCACATGGGTCAGCACTGAGCAGATATGACATGTGCTCTGTCTGTTGAACTCTCGGCACCCACACCAGGTGGACTTTCTCTTCCAGTGTACCGTTTAGTTTAGTCGTGTATAGTTTGAGAAAATGATTAGACCTCCCTGCATTTTACTTTGATCCATAGCTTTCGCGTATACCCCAGGGAAAGCGTAACTCCTGCCTGCTCACGAAAATACATCCTGCTTTTACAGTCCACCTTCCTCTCCTTCCCCGCCCTCCGCTTGCCCCACACTGCCCCACACTGAACCTCATAAACATATACACTCACATTCAAACACCCCACCTCCACCCGTAGCTCCCACGATGGCCAACAGCAAGAAGACAGGTAAGATGGTTTTGATGTTATGTGGAATCTTGGCTCACCTGCAGTCCTATTTTTTTTTTCTTTTTCTGTATCAGGCTTTTGGGCAGATTGGAATTTTTCCCATCCATGGAACCAAAACAGCATGAGTTTGGTCCTACATAGGTTAGGACTTTTATTTCTAAATTGATAGCATTTATACAGAGTAATATATGAAATGGTACCCTGGAAGAGTCTATGCACCTCCCCTGGGTGAACTGAGAAGTTGATGTAACTCAAGAGAGTCCCCATTTCTTAAAGTCAGCCCCCCGAGTCTGCCCAGAAGCTGTCTGACTGAGCATCATTTGGATGGGGAAATGCTTCAGCACCCCTGGTTGCACGAGCCAAGCTTTGAGAGAAATCCAAGAGGGTCCCTTTATCTCATCTTTTAGTCAGAGATGTTAGTACCTACAGCACAAAGTCACGTTAGGAATTGATAATGAGAAATGATATTTTGTTTAAATGATAAAGCTCCTGGACAGTTGTGATCTCGCTGTCTTTTTAGATCAATCAGGCTTGTGCAGGTAAGACTTGGAGGTCAGCTCTGGATCTCAGCGGCAGTGGAAAATAATTGCGATAGGTCCTAGCTTGAGCACCATGATTCTGTTCTACCCTCCAACCAGACCAAGCCCTTAGGCCTAAGTGTATTCTCACCTAGGCCTGGGCTTCACCAACCTTGTACTTGAGCTCTCTTGACAAAGTCTACAGACAAGGACACAGGTCACCTTCTTAATCACACATGTTCCATTCTTACAGCATGTAGTGGAGATGTGATGGATGACTGTGCTCCCAATGTAGCCATGCCACTGGAAAAGTGCAGGTGCAATCAGAGGAAAAGCTTTGGATCACCACCCCCAGATCCTGGGAGCAGTTCTGCCCAGGACATTGCCTTTTAAGTCCCCAGGAGGTGTCCGTGCTCTTGAGAGCTGTCCAACTGATCGCTCATTTCACCAGATGATCTATGGAAACCACAATAGCTCTGCAAGCAAATTCTAGAAAGTAAGGTGTCAAATGCCCATTGTATATCTGTTCCTCACATCCCAAGAGGTAGGCATTCTTGGCTCCTTTCTGTGCACGGAGGAAACTGGGGTACAAAGACTTATCCAAAATAGCCCATCTCATAAACATCCGAAACAGAACTGGAGCGTGGCTGTTCGCTGACTCTCAAGACCGTTCCCTCTCCCATCTCTCAGTGATTGCTGTGAGGCTGTAGAGGGTCTGGACACTCAGTTCCTCACCGAGGACACTTCAGTCCTTCTGGAGCAGATGATTATATAATTAGCATGTGAACACAAGTGTCCCCTTCTGGGATTTACAGACCTGTCTGTAAAGGAGCCCAGAAGTCTGATACAGTCCCAAGGTGCACCGCAGGCCATTGGCAGACAAGCACGCCTTCATTACATAATTCTAGGGTGCCCCCACTGTAGTTATTATGGTTTTAAAAACTGTCACAAGGATCAATGGCTGATATTTATCCAGAAATTCATTTTGCTTTGTAACTGAATGAGAGTGGCTGATACTTGGCTAAACGGAAGCCAGATTAGAATTAAAGGCCTTCCATCAGCAGCTGTGATAGATTGGCAGTTCATTTTCCCTAAACTGACCTTGCCTTGTTCTCTTCCATTTTGGTCCACACCAGAATCCCTTTTCTGTCTTTCTACCACTAAACATGTCCTGCTTGGCTTCTCACCTCCCCTTCAGGGCCCAAAGTCTGCATTTGCTAGAGTTCTGCTGTGTGAAGTCATGCAGAAGCACTTCTGTGTGGGTCTGAAGAACACCTCCTGTTGTGTTTGGTTTTTAACTCACTACTGTTGGTGCCCATGCAGAGACGATTTCAGAACAAGGCCGAGTGTTCAGTCACCTCTCATTGGAGTGGTTTTGAATGTTACAGTGTTGATCATTTGAGCCCATGGCCAAGTTATGGCTGATGTGGCTATGACACTGTAAGCTAACAGCTCATGCTAAACACACACACACACACACACACACACGCACACCTGCTGCAGCAAACTAAAATGAACACTTGGTTCCATGACCTTAAAATAAATAAAATTTATTTGTATATCTGACTACTTTACCCGAACTTTGAATCTTTTAAATCTCATGATGATTTAGCTAAAAAGCTGGATCAGGGTCATTTTAGAAGCATCTACGTGCAAGTTTCACACCCCTTTTATACATAGTGTGTCTGCTTCCTAACAATCATGGTCCTATTTATTCTTAATTTACTTTAAAAACTACTTAGTTTTAAATTATAATTCTGTGTACCAGGAGCACACTTTCTGCACTCTATGAATTCCGTCCCCAGAACCCACACGAAGAAACTAGGAAAGGTGCCTTGTGCTTGTAATCCCAGTTCTGGGGCTACAGGCACAGGTCCATCCCTGGTGTTTAATGACCAGGCAGCCTAGCTTAACCCTAGGCCTGTGAGACACAGTCTCAAAAATAAGGTAGGTTGCACCTGACAAACAATACCAGAGGTTGAAGTGCCCTGTGCACATGTACTTGTATATACATGCACGTCTTCACAGACACACACAGACAGACACACATACACACACGCAAGCACACTATGCAGAACTGAAGCGATATTAAAGTACTATTACGCTTAATTACTTCCACCTTCCCAGTCCACAGAGTGTCAACATAGGAGAAGCCTAGGAGCCTTCTGGCTGCCTTCCAGCAGTCCCTGGTAGGGAGCCATCCTGAGTAAGTTTCAAACAAACACAGAAGGAACATTAGGAGTTAGGTTTAAAAGTGAATAGAGACACTCTTGATTTTTAAAATCAATCAAGAAAGTTTACCTGGATCTCAGAGCATATAGGAAAAGGCATTTTTCAAGTATTAGATTGAATTCAGCATCTTAAAAATGAAAATTAGTTTGAGAGCCATGGAGTCTTGCCCTGCCCGGTGTTTGACGGCTGCGGTACCAGACTGATGCGTCACGGCAGAGGAGGACTTGAGTTACCATGCAGTGGTCTAACCAGTTCAGTAGTCTTCCATTCGAGCTCTCACAGATAAGCTAGGCACAAACACGTCTCTCCTAGCGTGCTCAGCACAGTCACCAGTATTGCAGCTGCAATAGGAAGAGCCAACCTCAGTGTATGGCTGCTGCTTTCCGAGAAACGCTGATCTAGGGATGAAGTAGACCGTTTTTGTATGTTCTCATCAGACTTTGTTTGGCTGAAACTCTGCACTCCTTACTGCTTGCATGTCTACTAATTTGTTATTAAAACCCTTGTATTCCCCTTTGCTCTTCACAACTAACACACGGGCCTCTGATGCATGAGTTTTGTCTAGAGTATGACTTAGCAACTGATGAATACATCTGTGGTTATGTTTTAAGATCTTACTTGAGATTATTGTACTTAGAGAATCATTTTAAGTGGTAAAATAAAGTAGAATGTTAATATGCTGTTTGCTTAATTTACTGTGATGAGTTCTTAGAAAATTTCCCCCTTTTCCATGTTACCTTGTTATTGTAAATGAAATTTCATTATTGGCTTTGTAGTTTAAGAGAACGGTTCTGTGTAGTGCCAGCTAGACATTCCATCACTGCTGATGGATTAGGAAGCTAAATTCACAGCATTCCAGAGCGACAGTTGTCTTCCCAGTAGTTAAAGCTCTGCTGTAGACACTCAGTGAAAGTGGCTCTCAGGGACTTGCTCTGAGTCTGCTCTGTAGATATTTGGAGAGTGATACCAGGCATGACATAATATGTATTTCTTATATTCTCGGCATCTCAGGACCCTGTCTCCTGCCAAGTCTCCTTCTTCATCCACTGGGTCTATTGCCTCCAGCAGAAAATACCCGTACCCGATGCCTCCGCTTCCTGATGAGGACAAGACAGTGAACCGACAGAGTGCCAGGGTACACAGCCATTCCTGCATGCTTTATCCTTGGTCATTATTCACTGTATTTGAGTTTACTTTTCATCTACTACCCACCCCCATTTTTGAGACAGAATTTGGTTATGTAGCCCAAGTCGGATTCAAGCTCACGAGAATCCTCGCTCCATCCTGCTGAGTGCTGGGATTACAGGCATTCCCATTATGCCTGGTTCTAAAAATGTGTGTGTGTGTGTGTGTGTGTGTGTGTGTGTGTGTGTGTGTGTGTGTAATCTATATCTGTCTGTCTGTCTATACCTTTTTTAAGACAGGGTTTCTCCATGTAGTCTTGACCAGCCTGGTCTCAAACTCAGAAAACCACCTGCCTCTGCCTCCTGAAAATTAGAATTACATGCATGTGCCCCCACTGCCTGGCCCAGTACTATATACTTATGTCTTTATTTTTCATTATTGTTTTACTCATCTCTGGGTTTGAAAAAAAGAATGTGTTTTGCTTTAAGAAACATTGAAAAATCTTTTCAATATCCCTGTCATGGAATTCCAAAGACTAAGTTAGTTCCTTCTTCATGTCTAGTTTGATTGCTCAGGCCTCCCACTGCCTTGTTACAACTCAACAGGAGTTTAGAAATAGGAATCTCTGACAGAAACCCAGATTAGTGTCTTTTTACCAAGGGTAGAATTTAGATACAAAGGGGAAATATTTGAAAAATCTGTCATATTGAAAGAATACTACAAAGGGGTATGGTAAAACTTTAACAGAATTTTTGATTTTTTTTTTAAAGTAAACATGGTTTTATGGTAAGGAGAATTAGTCTTAGGGCCTTGATGTCTTGGTAGAAAATGAAATGCTCTAGCTCTGTGCCATACTTATGGCCTCCAAAAGCCAAGATTTGACAAGGTTGATTTTTATTATATTTATTTATGTGCACGTGTGTGAAAGGATCTGTGCATTTGAGTGCGGGTTTCACGAAAGCCGGAAGAGGACATCATTGGATCCCCTGGACCTAGAGTTGCAGGCAATTGTGAGCTGCCTCACATGAGTGCTGGGGACCAAACTCCAGTCCTCTGCAAGAGCAGCATACATTCATAGGCACTGAGCCATCCCTCCTGCCCCCAGAAAGCCAAATTCAAAGCAAGTACGGAGATATTCATCCTGATGATAAAAACAGAATTTACCAGAAACTTATTTAAACATTAGCTCCCTTGTGCACCTTCGTCGGTATACCCTAAACATTAGCTCCCTCATCTACCTTCGTCCGTATACCCTGCCTCACAGCATTCCCCAGTGCATCCATTCTGTGAAATTTGGGATAAAGTGGGATTTGGAAAGTCAGTCCAGCCCTCAGAGGCTTCAGTGAGATGAGGACCTGGAAAGAATGATCACTGAGGTCCAGACCGCTCATGGCCGGTTACATTATGATGTTGCTCTTAGGAGAAAAAAAAAGTCAAAGGTGAAGCTTTTACAGTCTTTACAGATTTATCCAGCACAGGGTTCTGAGAATTTTTATATCTGAAGGAGTTTCAGAGCCTGAGAGATAGTGAATCAAAATTATGAGGTCATTTGTGCCTTAATTGACCAACTGGGGGGGGGGCACCAGACAAACAAGCAAACAAACACCACACCACCAACAAACAAAAACACAAAACAAGCACAGCTGGTCAGGTCACTGTAAACATAAAGTCTGTAGAAATAAGAAATGACATTTGTTCATTGTGAAAACTACCTCTGTATGTCAGTGCTGGAAATAGTATAAGATGGAGTTGAAGAATACTTTTTGGGCCATCAGCTCACAGAAAAATGGCACACAGACTTATTATTAATTATGGATGCTCAGCCTTAGCTTGGGTGTGTTTCTAACTAGCTCTTATAACTTAACCCACAGTCTTCCACATGCTTGTTACCCCATCTCCATTTTGCCCATCCCGCTTATTCCACCTTGGGCTGGCGACCCCGCCTTTCTTCTTCCCAGAGTTCTTTCTGTCCAGAAGTCCCGCCTGCACCTCCTGCTCAGCTATTGGTCAATTAACTTTTTACAAAAGCAATCACAGTGACACATCTTCACACAGTTAAAGAAATATTCCACAACAAACTCAGATTCCCGGGACTAGATTTTCAGGCTTTGTTGCTTGGTGCTTGGTGTCAGGTGTTTGTGGCATGCTCTATGATAGTCGAGGTGCTGTGGTCCTTTCCTCCCCAGAGCATAAGTCTAGCACTTCATGTCTCCTCCAGATAAATTGTCTGCATCACTGTTTTGCTCCATCAAGCTGGGGCTGTTCTCTCAGGTGTCACCATGGCCAGTGTAGATTATTAAAGTTGTTAACATATAAGAACTCGTGGAAAGGACAGTTCCCAGGAGAAATGGGTACCCCGTGTTCTTCTTGAGGGCTGAGCACTGTGATGGCTTAGGACTGTACTCCAAGACAATGGTATAGAGGTTCTGACTTGGTCTATGTTACATGGTACAGTCATGAGCAATATAGAAGAATCCTGCTGAGGAGGTGGCCCTTGTCTCCCAGATGTCTTGGTGGGGTGTAGAAAACTGCATCAGCGAGCCTGCCGTTACAGCCACACAGGTGTGGGCAATCATGTCTGTTGCTACTGATGATGTTGTAGTTGTCTTACTTGTTTCTGTTTGGGATAATCATGACTTTTCGTTTTCTTCATTCAATGCTTTTGTTTTTTGTTTATTTTTTTTTTCTTGCAAGCTCGCTGAGGCCAAAGTCCATCTCCTACCCCAGATCACTGCCTAAGCATTCATACTTTCCTTGCCTGAGACACCCTGTAGTACTCCATTTCCTCTCTACTTCGAAAGAGCCTTAGATTTGAAAGTTCCCATTGGGTTCCAAATAACAAAGGTTTTTAAAAAAACATTTACAGCTTAATAATTTTCTATATATGAGTACACATATGCATGTGTGTGCATTGTGCGTATCCCTGGTACCTCCAGAGGCTAGAAGAGCATGCTGGACCCACTAGAATCGGGGTGATAGACAGTTGTAGACTGTCACATGGGTGCTGTGAATTGACTCTGAGTCCTCTACACCTCCCCAGCTCCAGAACAGATCTTTTTACTAGGAAAGATATAAAGCCTGGCCGGAGGTGGGTAGCTCAAGGGGCTCTGCCATGCCTGTGGAGTGTGCTGTAATTTCTGTTGGAACAAAAGTTCCATGAAGGTTTGGGCAAGTGTCGATTGCGTTGGGTGGGTTACTCAGTCTAGGGGTTTGTAACCCACCCTGCAATCAGTTATTCCAGGGTCTCGGAGGGGCGCTACCTGGAAGGGAATAAGCTAAGACAGAAGAAGGAGGCCAAGCAGATTTGTCAAAGCCTCCGTTTATTAGGATCATGGTTGCTGCTTATATAGCCCCTAAAGGGTAGGGAAACTGAACTCTGCGTGTTCCAGGTCACGTAGGCCAGGAGGTAGGCCAAGAAGTCACAAGTTGCCACACCTGGTTCCCTGGATAGCTGGAGTGTGAGGCGGGTTCCACTAACAGATTAGCAGTTAATTGGCTATGGGGCAGGTTCTCTCAATAGAACATAATTGTGGGTGTGGGGTTCTCTGCAGACTCCCTGGGGTGATGGTTTCTGTAATGATTTTTAGGGGGGAAATGGCTCCTGACAGGCAAGCACGTTAAAGTAACCTACCTAGAAAGATACACTTAACTCAGTATGGTACCATGTGACTAAAGCCCTTGATAGGTAGAAGGAGGAGGTCAGGCAACATAGTGAGTTTGAGGCCAGCCTGGGCTACATGATACTCTGTCTCACAAAACAAGACAGAAAAGAAAGATACTAATTGTGTTGTTTCCTTTTCTTCCCCCCAAATTTACATGCCATGAAATATCTCATATATCCTGTTAAAATGGAGTTTGGGTGGAAGTCAAATATAACCTAAGCAGCTCTAATAATACTTTGTTTTTGTATAAAATATTTATATGTGAGTCATATAGACTGCGCTATATTTCATTGGCAGACCCCCTTCTCTGGTGCCTGTCTGAACGTGCCAAGAGTTGTTTGAGGTCCATGAAGGCAATTGGTGCACAAAGTAGATCTGCCCAGGCTCAGCATGAAGAACCGATAGTAGAAGCAAGGAAAAGGGGGGATGGGGAAGCATGTGTCCTTCCACTCTAGCATGCCGGCTCCTAGAGGACAGTTTGCTTGCAGTCAGTGCAACAGTTGGAAGTGCGTGAAGTGTTCATAGGCTCACAGTAGTGTTTACGGGATGGCGTTCGTATCAATGGAGTCAAACTTCTTAGCCTTGACTGGACATGGGAATTGTCTGTAGAGCTCCAGAGTATTTTAAAGCTAAATCCCACCTGTGGGAGTTTGATTTAGTTGGTGTGGATTTTAAACCTTCTGCATATTAGGACTGAGGAGTTGGCTCAGTTGGTAATGTGCTTGCTGTGGAAGCATGAAGATCGTAGTTCAAATTCCCAGTACCCATGTAAAAGGCCGTATGGTGGTGCATGTGTGTAATCCTAGAGGAGGCAGAGGCAGCAGGAACCCTGGAGCTTGCTGGCCAGCTAGTCTTGCCAAACCCATGAGTTCCAAGTTCAGAGACTTCATCTCAAAAAGTGAAGTGGAGAAACTTGAACAAAGACACCTGACTTTGACCTCTCATCTCTACGTGCACAGGCATGTGTGTGTGTACATCTGTTATGTGCACATACATGGACACACTCTTTCTCCAGATGTGTTTACAAAGCTGTGATTGAGAAGCACTATTCTGTTGGGAAAATAAAGGGAATAGGCAACTTAAAAATAATATTTACAAGTTTACAATTTGAGAGATATAATGTTTATTTGAAATTTTAAATAACGTGAAATGATGGTTTTTTGGTTTTCATCAAAAGGTGGCAATTGTTAGAACGGTTGGTATTGGAGCCGGGAGATGGCCTAGTGAGCGAGGAATTTGCTGTGGAGGCGTGCAGACCTGAGTTTGGTGCATGTGCCTTCAGAGGCAAGGTGAATTCCAAGAGTTCACTGTCTTAAGGAGATGAGATGGGGATCACTAGGGGAAGATACCCAAAGTCCTTGTCTGGCCTCCTCAGGCCTTTACATGGGCACGTGCACATTCTCATACATGTGCCCATCCCACACACAAAGAAGACATGTTAATAGCAGGTTCAGAGAGAGCTAAAAGTTCATGTATTTCTTTTATCTGTTTATTCGATGAGAGCATGCACCATCGCTACTGACCTGTGGTTGGAATTCTTTCTCACAGCCCAGAAAGTCCGCTTTCTGCTTTCCCAGTGTCTGATTTTGCTTTCCTCTCTCCGCAGCTATGGGAGACGTCCATTTAAGAACGACTGTTTACATGTGTCACATCGAAACTGTTTACTTCAACTTTTATAGGAACCCAGCCACCCAGACTCACTGCAATCTGTCTGCTCTGCAGATGCTTTGAAGGCCCTCTGAGATGCAGAGGAGAGGAAGCCACGGCTCACACCTGGATGGCATTTCCTTTTTGTCATCGGCATAAGGTTTAGCCAAACAGTAAAGAACTCCTGAAATGTCACACTATGACACGGACCCACTTATGGTCTGGTATTGGTATGTTAATGGATAATCTGCATGACAGATATATGTAGAATATCAATAAAATGAACTCACATGACCCAAATGTCGCAGGTTTTCCTGAGGGACCGAAGTGGATTCAGAACTGGGCATTCTGAAACACATCCTCATTGCAAGCAGTAATGCCGTATGCATGAAGCTTCTGTTTATTGTTTTCCATAGACAAGGAAAAACATCCCATAATAGAACTAGCATGCAGGGCTGAGGCATATAGGACTTTTCTGCAGGTTGCAGGACTGTAACGCTTTGAGAGGCCAATACCCATATGCTAACTTTAAACATGTATTTTTATTTTTTTTTTACTTTTCATATTTATACTAGCATACAAGGACAACTGTACATATGTAAACATTTTTAAATTTAAAAAGTAACTGTTACATATAAGTGTGTTTTGCCAAATGCCTAAAAACAGCCAGTCACGACTCTATCATTGCCCTTCATCCTGCTGTGTTCAGAGTGTCAGTGGACGGTGTTGTGAATATAGTGGTCACTGCGGTAAACGTGTCTTTCTGTAACCGGCATTCGTCTAAAGCGTGTGACTTCCCTTTCAAGTGCGTGCAGTCTGGAGGAGGTTTTGTTGAGTAAGCCATCAAAATGCTCAGACAAACGTCCGGCCTTTGCATCTGGCTGAGGGTGGAGTCCAGATGTGTGGACACGCTGGAGCTGGCAGGTTCTCTCGGAATCTGCCAGCTTGTCTATTTCATGTCGAAGACGCATGGTTCCTGTCACAGCAGCCGTTCTCGCTCAGTACCAGGGCACATCAGCTGATCGTACCTGGACGCCATGGAGTGCCTCCCCTCCAGAAGGTTCTTGCTGAGACGGATTGGATGCACGAAAGACACAGACCACTGAGTGGCTAACTCCCATCTGGCCAATACCTGAGGCCTTTCTGGCCTGAAGTTTGGGTTTCTTAACAAAATCCTTTCAGCCATTATTACCCGTGGAAGGAGCGATCTGTTTTCACAACTAATGCATTTCTCATCACTGGGATGTAAGTCCCAGCAGGCTGCTCTGGCTGACTTTGAAGAAGATGGTGGATAGAAGACTCAACAAGGCATGTAAATTTAAATGAAGTCTAAGGCTACGTAGATGCAGTAGCTGCAAAGATAGCCACCAGCCTGCAGGGAGAAGAGCCCTATACATTTTGATCCTTTAAAAAAATGAGTATTCTATGTGAAATCTTGTCATTTAAAATGAGTAGTTAATAGCTTTTCTAATGCAATTTTACCGCTCAAATTTGATAGCTCAGTCACACGCTCTGCTCTGGAATACACTTCTGACCCCACCCCCATCTTTACTGATGTATGTGAGGATGGGGCTATCAGACCAGACCTCAGAAATGTGTTCTGCATTTGGTTTCTTCCACAAGTGTCCAGGGACACAATTTGTCTCACCTCCGTGTGGATATTCTTAAATGCCCAAACTGAAGGGCCAGAGTAGAAGGCAGTGGTATAACTCAGTTCAGGTCTTCTGTAATGGTCCACTCTTGAGAAACACTTTGAAGATGTTAGAAAACCAAGTTAATCAGACAAAATTATACAGTAAAAACAGCGATTATTGTGACAGGAAAGGATGGAGTTTGCTGATGGCTCACTAAGACAGCCTCAGACAAAGGTGTGGATGAGTTGAGCAATGTCTCCACTGAGCTTCAGGCCAGGACAGAAGAGCAGGCAGGTGACCGAGGAAAAGATGTAGCAAATGAAGTGACTTTTGAACAAGATCGCTTCAAGTGTGCACTGAGTGCTTTCTGGCATTGCGTATATAGAAGGCTAGTGTAATATGATATTAGGTTTATTTTGGCTACAAGAGAAGAGTTTATACCTTTGAATGAAGATGCCTCGTGTAAATATGCTTTGTATTAGAGTTAGTTACGTAAACCCTGGCTTGGGAATTCACAAGTGGCTAGCTAGTGAGCTGGTTATCTGTCTCCCCGCCTGTCTTTCCTCATCAATAATTTTTTTCCTGAAGTTATTATTGAAAATTGCAATCATTATCACGTGCCTTTTGGGAAAGACGGCTGCTTTCGTTTGTAATCCCCATATGTAATGGGATGAAAAGGATTTTCTTGACGTGCAGAGTGATTTTAGGAATATAAGAGCTTTAATGTTTTCATCAAGGTATCTGTCTCCCATGTTTAAGCATTCTTAGACTTGTTTCTGGAATTAACACGCTTTCGTGTTGACGACTAGCTTCAAGCAGTATGTATCAGTGCACTCGCCAATATTGGTGTTGTAGATCATTGCATCCGACTACGTATGACTTCACTCACTGAGGTAGACAGAGTAGTAGACTCATGGAACCAAGGACAAGCACAATGACTATTCCTTTTGTAAATGTCTATTTTGAAGGGGAACTTTGAAGCTCGGTAGTGGTTTGAGTCACACAACTAACATCCACACTTCCCAGTGTGCCGTGGGGCCATTACTCCATGGATAAGGGCAGTAATGTGTTCGTTGGCTGCCGTTTCTCTTTCTAGTACTCTTGGCATCAGTAGGACTGCAGATAGCCCAAAGGCCCGGGATGTTCTTGTCCATTATCATAAAGGAACATTTAACTCTTCCCAGTGTGTGTCCAGGGAAGGCCTGCAGTATCAGAGAATCCTTAAAGAACAGACTGGCCAGACCAACACTTCCCAGCTACTTTCCTTAGATGGGAAGCCTTTCTCCGGCATCAGCCAGATAGAAAATGACCGCAGTACGTGCAGTCTGCAGAAAGGGGGAGATGGGCGCTCCTTGGTTTTCAGTGTTCTGCAGTACATCCCAGCCCCTCACTTAGACGCTAAGTGAGGAACAGCACATCCTTAGGTTCCTTAACAGAAGCATTGCCTGGGGTTGAGACGCCTTGTGAGTGCTGCAACCTGGGCGCTTTACTTCGTTATACAGTTTCTTCGTGTTTCACACGGCTTTTAAAATACTGTTTGCACAGAACATCAGCCCCATATAGAATTTACGTATGAAAGATTGATGGTGTGTCTCAAAGCAGTCACAGTAACGAGAGAATTGAATATTCTCTGTCTTCCCAGGGTGTGGGTGGGAGGCTGCGCTGGGTTCCAGGACAGATAGATGCACATGGCTTCTTCTGCTGTCCTTACGTATCTGCATGATTTCCTCCTGCCCGTTACCCTCTGCCTCTGGAGTTACTTTGCCTGTTGTCCTTTGCTAGTTTTTCATGGTTACCTTTGAGCCAGGGAAAGGTTACCATTTCTCCTCTCTTCCTCCAGGATTTCAGCCAGGTTTGTTCATTTATTCATTTCACCCGGCCATTTTCTATGGTCATATAGGTCTATCTTAACCTTAAATTTAGACAGTCCTTTAGATATGCCCCTGTTTTTCAATGTAATAATTGCCTATTTAAAGGTAAGATTATTTTTATCTTACTTAAATGTAAAGGGAAAGAAGGCTGTCTGGCAGTTGCCGTCTGCAGGAGGAGGAGAATAAAGTTCGGAACCGATGGGAATAAGGAGGAAGCAGGGCCCCTGACCCCTGTCTGCACAGCCAGATGGCACCACTGTCACCTGCACCCTACCTCCTCCCCCGACAATATATAGTCAAGATGAATTTTTCATTCTTATTCTACTAGCTTTGTATGAAAAGCTGCCGTTTCTGTGGAAAAGGGCTTCATTTAGGGCTCAAGTACCCACTTTCCTCCTGCAGGGTAGTCAAGACTACTCTGACTTCAGATGCAGGGTCTCTTCTCTGGGCACCAGAGAGTTAGGGCCTGGGGTGAACAACTTCTCTTTGCTGTATTGTAAAGAATTCAATCGACAGTTGTGAAAATTGGCCGAGGCAGCAGCCCATCTGTCTGTGTGCGCAGCATGCTGTTAAATTGTCCCCGCTTGCTGACAGCGTATGCTCTGTGGGACAGGGCCTTGCAGCTCTCAGAGTTTTCCTACCATGCCTGCAGGTGCAGAACAAAACTGCCCCAGACTTGGAAAGCAGAAGGTAACACTTCCATTCCCATATCGGTCATAGTTACGTCAGTCCTCAACATGTAAGTAGAAAATCAAAACTTAAGACGCCAGTGGCCATTGTATTCCTGCCCTTTATAGCCATGGCCTTAGAAAACAGTATCATTACTATGGGTTTTGATGGCTGCTTCTAGATCCTTCCTTCTTCTGTAGTTCCCCATTCAGTAGCTGTGCCGGACTTTTCCTCTCGATAAGAAACGTCCCCTAGCATGCAGGCGAACGTTGGGAGAAGCACAGGCATGCAGCGGAGGGAGGTTAGCTCTCCTCTCCTTTCCACATGCTGGTTTGACTGAGCACCTTGGAAGGTCACTACGAAATGGGTCTCAGGGTATAGATCTCAGGAAGGGAATAAGCAACAGGGAGTTTGGGAGATGCTGGGTCCTTTGTCCCCAGCACGAGACCATAGTGCACATCCATTGAAGCAGGCACAAGAGCTCAAGATGGCCACTGGCCATGCTGGCCGTACTGGGCGCCAGCAGCAGACTTAGGTGTTTTGCGGTCTTCTGGAGTGTTGGTTCTCTCTGTAGTCTACTGTCCAGTGCAGTGTCCCGGATGCACTGGTCATTGGCCTGCAGCACACTGGGAGGGGCTTTGGAAGTGGTAGGGGTGTTGATCACAGGCAGCCATGGAATCAAATCCAAACAAAAATGTATTTTATTCTGTTTGATTTTACAAAAAGGCATACAGTGAGATGAAGCACTCTTATTAAGTTAACGCACACAAGGCCATCAGGTCTGTTTTTGTGAGCAAAGGTTAGTCTCCCTTAAATGTATGCAGATGCTTGTGTGCATATTCTGCATTCAATTTACACCATTTTGGGACATGATGCGTTCTGATGGTTGAGTTTTAAAATAATGCAAATAGCCCAAATCTTTAAATATAGCGGTGCTACGTTTTTATCAGATAACACAATACAGAAAGTGCTGAAATGAATCCTGACACTTAGGAGGAACACAGGAGTTCCTGTTAAATTATACACTTGTATCACTGCCTGATATGAACCCCACTTTTCCTTTTTAATCCAGCACAATGTCAAACTGTGATTCTGTGGCTCCTCTTTTTAATGGGTACAAATAACCCAACACTTTTTTTTTAATGGAAAAAAATTTTTTTTAAACACTAACTGTGAAGTGCTTAGTAAAAGGTTCCTTCAGGATTCAGAGCATTTTTTTTTTAACTTGTTGGAAGACTTGCCCCTCCAAACTAGCATTTCCAAATGACAATCACCAGAAACGGCTCATTTCACCTAATTAAAGCAATTCATGCTAGTGGACGTTAGGTCTCTGCCAGGGCTTCCCCCACCACAGCCTCCAAGACAATAGATGCCACCCCATGGGGCGCGCTAACAGCATCAGTGTGGTTCACTTCACGGAAGTAGGTACTCAAGTGTACATACTTAGATTCACATCATTTAAGCCTCCTCTCTGCTACTCGGCACACACGTCAGGTTCTTATGCTATTTGAAAACTCCTGGGTTTTGGCAAACACCAAAAGAAATGTAAATGGTGATTGCCCTCCCGAGCAAGCGTGGTTTGTTTTATGGCTGTTCAAGTTAAAAAGTTGTTCTCATGTTGTAGGTAAACAAATCTTGCTGTTTTCAAAAGGTCACTGTAACTCGAGATTTAACTTCCTGGCACAATTTTATTAGTGTTCACTTCTGAAGCTAATAAGATATCAGAGTTTTCTATGTTACTCTCATTGTGACATCAGTAAAGTGACTTTCAATAAAAGCTTTATGTTATTTTGATGCACAGCTCTTTCATGTTTTTCTTCCTGGCCAGCATCTCTGAGAAGCTATCAGAAGATTCTGTTCTCATGGTCCCTGAGGAGACAGGAGAAAACTTGGTATTCCATTTGTTGGGCTGTTCCTTTGGTGAGGAAGCAAGGGACTTGCTTCCTGAATGCTCTCCTGTCCGGTGATGCTCAACTCTTGATGGAGAGTTGCCTTGAAGTACTGATTGCTAAAACCTGCATCCCAGAAACACAATTTATAATGCTTGAGGATGTACCCAAAAGCAAATTCAGAGCCAAAACCTAAATAGCACATCTTTGGGTTTATTTAAATGACAGGGCAGCTTAAATATGGGGCAGTTTCTTTATTGTTTGTATTCACTTAGGAAATTATTATTTCTTTAAACTATAATTTCCTTAAAAGATCTTGGTCAGTTTAAACCCAGCCTCCTAGCCCTCCTTGATCCTTTTCTGGGCAGCCTGGTCCCAGGTTAAAGCAGTGCTTTCTGACATTGCAGATCAAACACTTGAAATGACACCCAGACTTGCCCCAGAAGACACAGCGGGCCGCTTCACACTGTGACGTGTAACCTGAGCATATTTACTGACTAAACACATAGTAAATTAGGGTCAGTAAACACGAAATGACTAAACAGATATCATATACACACTAACACCACGAGCATATGTTTGTGGACTGAGGCTGAAGACGCTTAGGAAATGTTTATTTCACTGGGTTATAATTGGTCATTCCCTTCAACGGTCATGTTCACATTGTGCCCGAAACAAGACAGATGCATTGCTAGCGAGAAAACAGTTTACCACTTTTAGCTAAACTGTTAACAACAACAACAACAAAAAGGAACATACTTTTCCCATACTCAGAACTACCCAGTGGGGTAAGAATTCTCTGCAGAGATGACCGCACTGAGTGTCTTGTCCTTACCCAGAATGACCAAGTCACATACATAGCAAGGCATTGCCAGAAAGCCAATTATTTAAACATTTGAAAAAGTTTTTTTCCCAAGTGTGTGTGTACAAAACCTGATTGTAGAAGACTTGGAAATTCAGTGGGAAGGGAGATCCTACTCCAGTGGTTTAAGCCAGGACAATTGATTCATTTCCGTTCCTTTCTTGTATTATATGTTTCAATAAATAATACATGGCATTTGAAAATGAATGTTAACAACGTTCTAAAATGTATCCCATCTGGTTTTACTTATTTTTATTACTTTTAATTATGTGTGTGCATATACACTTATGTGCATCTGAATGCAACTGCCTGGAGAGGCCAGAGGCAGTAGTTGAACCACCCAACATGGGCGCTGGGAACTTGAGTCCTCTGCAAGATTAGTCCATGCTCGCAACTGCCGAGCTGTCTCTCCACCCCCAACATTCGGTTTAAAATGGAAGCACACACATTATAAAAATTTGTGAGATAGGGAAAAACAGCAAGGAAATTAAAGTCATCTAGAATCCCATTATTCAAAAAAATAAGCAGTTAATATAGTTTTATTTCCCTTTAGTCTTTTTCTGGTTATTTTAAGCTTAGAATATACAAGACTTTTAAGTATAATGAACAAAAGTTTGGATGGATGACAAAGAAGGACATGGTGATGGTATTTTTTGCCCCTCAAATTATCTATAGGTTTTTTTTTTAAGAGGCAGATGATAGTCATTCAATATCTCTGTCCACTCAAGGCTTTCAAACCTGTGAGTTCTAAAGCTCATGGTTTCTTTCTAGTATGCGCACTGGTTTGTACTGCACCTCTGTGGATCTACGTCACTTATATAAGAATATGCCCCCCCACACACACACACAAAGCATTTAACCACATTCCTCAGGGCAAGAAAGAGTAGCTGCTAAGCCTGACGAAAAGATTCCATATCTTATGAGGAAATATATAATTTGCTTTACATATTTTTCATACTTAAATTTATATAAAAGACAGCAGGAAAACAAGGCATGGTTAATAATGGCTCAAGGAGGTTCTGACTGGTACAACAGACTTGTTCTATTATTGAACTTCAAGCATTTATTATCAAAATTAAAAATGAAGCTTCAGCCATATATAAAGTCACGATCCCATTCAGTGGTTGTCGGGGAGTGTTGGTGGGAACCTGCACACAGCACTGAAGGCCAGGAGAAAGCAAGGGCGGGCTCCAGTTGGAATGTTGAATGTATTCAGACAGCCTCCTCTTGACTTAGATGGTCATGACACACTGAATGAACTTAAAGAGGGAAATTAGTGTTACATTACAGACTGCAAAACACTGAGGGTGCCAAAGCCTCCCTGTGGGCACCTTCCGTTTTAGTTCTTCATCTTGGCATTGTGGATAAACAAGAGGAATAAACAAGTCCAAACTTTCTAAGTTATGCATAAATGAAACATAGGGTGGGAAGAGTCTTCCTAGCAGGGGAACTTTCTATTGTAAAGTCCGATGAGTTCCTCATGTTATGGGAAGGAGGAATCACTTCCACAGATAAAGAATTTCAATCCGAAATGGTATTTAAGGGTCTAGAAAGAGTCATGGTCAAAAGTACTCTTGCCCACAAGAACAAAGAAGAAGCTTACAGTGTCTCATCATGTGAGGACTTCCAAACTGACTTCACCCTGCTGCTCTAGCCGGGCACTTTTGACACCATGGTCCTGTGACACCATGCTCTGTCAGCGTCAAAGCCACACAGAGAAAAGCCAGCCCCAGTCCAACAACTCAGAATTGCACACTTAGCAACATCAGTCTTGGCTGTGTATTGCTGTCACCTCCCTGCAGACTCACGAGACCAGGGGCTCTCAGCCTTCCTAATGCTATGACCCTTTAATACACTTCCTCATGCTGTGGTGACCCCCGGCTATAAAATTATTTGCATTGCTACTTCAAAACTATAATTTTGCAGCTCTTATGAATCATCATGTCAATATCTGATATGCAGGATATCTGATACGTGATCCCTGTGAAAAGGCTGTTAGACCTCGCAAAGGGGTCACAACCCGAAGGCTACGAACCACTGCACTAGGCCCCGCCCCCTAAGCTTATTTTCAACACTGGTGGGGAGCCCCAGTGGTAATCCCTGCAACAATTCTGCTAAACCAACTCATCGGTTCTTATTTGAGAGAAAAAGAAACCAAAGATTAGGACATCTAGAAACCTCTTTAGAGGTCCCCTCTGATGCCAAAGTCTATTCGTTTTCCCCTCCCTGGGTTATCACTGTAAACAATTTGTCTAAAATCGTGATTTCAGTTGGTGCCTGCCTTACGTTCTCATGGAACAGCACAGCTATGCAAAGCACCGCTGGAAGCTACCTAAGCGATGCTTGCTTTATACAGTGAGAGCAGATACATGTCTGCATTCGCACGACACCTCAAGACACAGCTGACTGAAACCTGTCGACCGCTCTTTGAAAGAGGCCTTGTTGTTACTTCATATGTGTGTGCACGCGGTGTCGGGATGGACATGTGTGTGGAGGCGAAGGGACAATCTCAAGCGTCATGCCTTAGGTGCTGCCCACTGGCCTAAAACTCACTAATCAGGCTTGGCTGGAGGGACAGCAAGCCCTGGGAACCTGTCTCTACCTCCCTAGTACTGAGGTTACAGAGTGCTGCCGTTCCAGCATTTGCACAGGGGTTCTGGGGATTGAACTCGGGTCCTCATGTTTGTCTGCCAACCAAGCTATCATCCCAGCCTGAAAGAGACATCATTATAATGACACCTGCTTCACCCTGTCTCAGAGTAACTAGGGAAATCTACTTATAGGACTCAGTCAATAAGAGCAAGTTTTGGAGTAATCCTCCTGCCTCATCCTCAGAAGTGTTGGGATTGCAGGCACAAACCACCATATCCTGTTATGTTTATTTGAGGCAGAGACTCATAAGCATAGCGCAAGCTGGCCTTGAACGCATGGCAATCCACCTGCCTCAGCCTCTTAAGTTCATGCATACGCTACCATGTCCATATTCTTAATAGGTAACTTCAAAAAGGAAAGCTGTTTTATGTACACTATGTCTTCTACTTAGTGCTTATTTACTGAGACTTACATCATCATATGAGAAATTCACCATTCCTTGTTGAACAGAGTCCCGTCTTCGAAAGGTATCTGCAAAACAACACAGGAAAATATAGTTTTTCTTTCAACAGGTTTTCCAAAATCACAACAGCTATTGGGCAGTAGGATCAAACTTTAATAGCATCTAAATTCAACAACCAGTCAACATAAGGCCAAAGAAAAATAGTCAGCTATAGGAATATTAAAAGATTTATTGTAGCAGTGATAACATGGGCAGAAGGTGGTCCATGGTCGTGGATCTGAGAAAAAATGACTGGTCTCAGCAGAAGCATTTGAGTTTTCAAGGCCCTTAACTGCAGTGAAACTGTAGTAACACACATGCTACTTAAGCAAAGAAACAGATGGGTACAGCTAATACAATGGTGACCCAAAATCCCACTCATTTCAGCACCTCTGACCAAAACAGATGACTTTTACTCTTTTCGAGCATCCCACAGTTGAGGAAAATTACTCGTAACTGCACTCCAATGGAAACTGCACAAGTCAGGCCTGTGGGTGTCGCACACCCACGTTCACCTGACAGTTTGTGTGGGCAGCTTGTGACTGCAGCGCCAGAAATGAATGCACTTAAGTACAGACAGTTCTAGCTGGAGCACTGAAATAAAATACACGGCAATTACTCTCTCATCTAAAAATATGTAAAAATATAGCATGTTAGGCTCTATTTGCTTAGTGGTTGTGGGAAGGGTTTACCACCGCACCCCTTAAAACCACGGAAAACCTGGGCAGAATGGAAGTTCAGGGGCATGGAGAAACGAGAAATGTCATAAACGGGGCTCCCAGGCTCCCGCTGTGCTGGCAGGTTTCGGGGAACACACCTGTGAGAGCCCTCAGTTTGACACAGCAGGCGATGTAGTCGTCAAAGGTGATCTTCCCGCTGGTGCTGTACCGCTTTGCGATTAAAGTCACAGTTTGCGGGTTCAACCGGAATCCTGGAAGGCAGAAAAATCACCCAG